CAAAGTTCAACAGATCAGAAAATAACAAATGTTGACGAGGTTGCAGAGAGATTGGAAATCTTTTGCACTGCTGGTGGGATTGTAAAATGTTATAACTTGGGGCAAGCGGTATGGTGTTTCCTTAAAAAACTGAAAATAGAAGTACCATTTGACCCTGCAATTCCATTAGTAGGATTATATCCTAAAGAGACGAGAGATAGCACACAAACAGACATATGTACACCTATGTTCACTGCTGCACAATTCACTGTACCAAAGAGATGGAAACAACCTAAATGCCCATCAACAGATGAGTGGATCAACAAATTATGGTATATCCACACAGTGGAATACTATGCTACATTAAAGACAATGAGGGATCCGTGAATCATCTTGCAATGTGGAAGAACCCGGAGGATGTTATGCTGAGTGAAATACGTCAATTACAGAAAGGCAAGTATTGTATGAGCCCATTACTGTAAAAAGACAAAGAAGGGTTTGCTTGGGGAAGGGAACTCACTTAGTAGGTTGCCAGGATCGGAAGGGGAGGAATTAATTTCAGACTAGTTGCAGCCTACACAGTGATGTAGGTAGGGGGAGGTATATACATAAGGATCTGTGACCACCATGATAGCATTAGGAAATGGGAGGACACTGAATTGTGCACATAAGAGATAGACGACATGTTAATACCAACCAATGTGTCCACAATACTGCATTGCCATTAACACCAAACACCAGGCTACTGATAAACACATAAATACCTGAGATGATCAAATGGGGGTCAGTGAATAGGAGTATACTTTAGACCAAGGATAGATTCAGCTGAGGCTAATCTTGCACAGATAACAGTGATACAAAATACCTGCAGTCCTTACAGAAACAGTAGAAGACAGATACAGAGCAATCCCTCACAGACACACACACACACACACACTATGGGAGAGAGATCCAATAGATCTACCCTCTCAGGACCATTGTACTGGGGGACACCAGACTCAATTGGCACAACAAAATACATAAAAGCCTTGTTCCGCATCCTACATTGGCGAGTAGCAACTGGGGTCTTAAAAGCTTTCAAGCAGCCATGTAAGATGCAGCTAACCATCACCTAGCATCGGAAGTGAAGACGAATGAAAAAAAAAAAAAAAAAAAGCATTTGGAAGCAATCAGCCGTAGCACAGGATGACCTTCGAGAGCAGAAGGACTAGATGGTGCCTGACTACGAATGCCAACCACTAAGGAAAGGATCAAATCTGGAAATTCTGGATAGAGTGGGGGAGAAAACATGGAATGAAATCCGAAAACTCAGTAATGACCAGAATTACTGGTCAAATGAAATCTGGTGAGACCTCCAATACTATGGCCCTGGAATAGATTCTGCGCCTGGAATAAAGCATACTCCCATGGACTGGCTCTCACCCCTATAGTTATTAAGATGTACACGCAGAACACAGGACACCATAGGACCAACTTTCAAATTGAAGAAATGCAGAAGAAACAGGAGTGCATAAATAATGAGGGTCCCAAGGGGAAGGTTACAGGTTAGGGAGGGGAGGAGACTCGGTTAGGGTTGGACATGGTAAATGGGGAATGAAACTAAACGTACACGTAACGTTGAATGTAAAACAAGCTCTAAAAAATAAAATAATTATTCACTGGCGTACAGCGGTGTGACTTCCATAAACTCCTGTAGAAAGTATGTTGTTTTCAGAAACTTTTGCAAGATACTGCCCTCTAAAGTCCTGGCCTGTAGCTCTTGGTTCATTTTCTACCCTCTCAAAGAGAAGTGTGCCGTGCTCTCTCAGCTGTCTGTGCACATTCTTAGAGTAGTTGTAAAGTACTGGCTTGCCTGGCATCTAGTTTCTCTTGAGGACCCTTGATTTATCTCCTCTGGGTCTCAGTGAAGACAGGATTTGCCTGTTTCATGGTTTATTCCTGATGTAGCTTTTGATAAGTCTGAATTTTAGTTTCCTCTTCTATTAAATGGTCTTTGGGCAGGAATTAGAGTTTATGTGCTTATGATGATGTTTGACACCCTGCCTAGCTGTGTGAACAAGTGTGGCTCCATCATGGAGAATGCACTTTGGCAAAAGATTGAGGTCTGAGAAGTTGGGGAGACGTTAATAATGAAGGTTCCTTGGAGAAAGTTGTTCTTGAATGGTAAGTAGGGATTAAGAAGGCCCAGTGAAAGGGATAGTGGGCAGCGTTGTAGAAACAGGCCTGAGGATAGTATGAGCAAAGAGCAAGAGTATGTCTGAATTGTTGTGGAGGACAGCTCCTGGCAAGGGGCCAGAAGGGAGGGGAGTTAGTCCCATTTCTAGAGAAGACATTCCACTGGTTGCAACTGAAAGAGCACTATGCCAGTCCAGAACATAGGCGTGTTTTGCTATGATTTTCAACTGCAGCACTGTGTGATAGGGCTTGGGACATTCACATTTTCTACATGAAGAAGGTAAAGCTCAGAGGGTAACTCCCAGTAGGCAAGTAGAATGTGTACCCTGGTTTGCCCTAGGCAAAACCCATACTTTTAATCCTTTGTTTTGTGAGGCCTCCATAAGGACAAAAAAGCCCACCCTCCCTAGTCCTCTAGAGTGTCCATATGTCCATTGTACTAAGACATGACCAGGGGGTTGGCAGCAAGTAGGAGCCAGGGCCTTGACAATGGTGTTGATTGTGTTAAAGGCTTGGCCACTGGAGAATCTGATGAGCTGTTGGGTGACATAGAGCCGCTAAAAATGGAGGTCAAGTGGTTCCATTCTCCGATGATGAAAACAGCAGGTGCCATTGAAAATAAAACCGTCATGTATAAGGTACCTGTTCCTTTTTTCTTGTCAACCCTCTCTTCTACCCTGGCCTGTGGGAATGGTAAATCTCTTCTGCCTGGTTCCCACAAGATTGTTCTATGATGGTGGTAAGATGTGGGGTTTTTCACTCAATTCCTTTGGGCTCCTTGGAGCATTCTTTGCCAAGCAATGACAAGTCTAAGAAAGAGGAATCCTTTTTAAGCACCTTTCTCAGCCCAAATTCCAGCTCAGAGAACAGGTATTACCATCCAGCTACCAAGTTGCCTAAGGCACTTGACTCCTAACGAGAAGGCTGGAGGTTCAAACCCACCAGCCACTCCTCGGAAGGAAGGTTGGGCAATCTACTTCCGTAGTGATACTGCCTCAGAAAGCCAAGGAGGATTCACTATGAGTCGGATCTGACTCGACGGCACATAACAACAGCAACAGCAACAACCTAGTTGTTTAGGTTGCTAACCTGGGCATCCCTGGCTCTCTTCCTTCCCCATGGATCCTATATAATATAGTCTATCACCAAGTCCCAGGCCTTCTCCCTCCTATCTCATGAGAAGCTATCAGCTTTTTTCTATCCCTCTCATTCCCGTAATCCTCATCTAAGCTGCCAATCCTCTCTCACTTGGACATATGCATGGTTTCTCTTGGTCTGAATCTCACCCTATCATCTGTCCTGCTTAACCTCCTTTCATAACTCCCCGGCACCTACAAGAGCAAATTGATAAACCTAAGCCTTGGTATTTAAGACCTGCGTGGCATCATATGACTCCTGGACTTTTTTTTTCAGCGTCTTCTGCCAATTCTCCCATCTCTGGAGTTCACATTTTACGTGTTTTAGTCACAGACATCCACATTATGATGGAAGGCACACAGAGTGAGTGTAGGGATAGAGGTTGAGAAAGTATTACTGTAAAGGCCCCTAAGCTATACTTGGAGCCCTGGGATAGTGCAAACAGTTGACACACTCAGCTGTTAACTGAAAAGTTGGAGATTTGAGTTCACCTGGAGATATCTCAGAAGAAAGACCTGACAGTCTACTGAAAAAATAAGCCTTTGAAAACCCCGTGGAACATAGTTTTACTCTGATACACATGGGGTTGCCATGAGTTGCAATTGAGTCAGCAGCAATTTTTAAGAATTTATACTTGCTTTGATCCACAATCAAAGGGGTGTGTAGGGTAGGGCAGTGTTGTTTTCTGTTCATGGGGTCACCATGAATTGGGTGCGATCTAGACAGGAGCTAACAATCACCACTAACCCCTATCCTTGTGGGGCAAGGAAGTCTTCCTGGACAACTTGCTGGTTAAACCACATTTTGACAGCTGAATCACTGTACAAGAGGGAGCTGAACCGTGTGGGCAGGGGCCTCAGCCTGTGTTCATGCCAAGACCCACAAGGGTGTGAGCATGGTGAGGAGAGAGAATTCTGGAGTCAGATCACAGAAGGCCTTGAGTCTGACCTGATACCATAGGTAATAGGAAAATAGGAGTCCCTGGTTGGTGCAAGTAGTTAACCAGTCAACTATTAGCTGAAAAGTTGATTGTTTGAACCTACGCAAAAATGCTTCAGAATATAGGCCTGGTGATCTACTTCTGAAAACATTATGGAGCAGTTCTACTCTGCATGAGTATGCACTCTGGTCACCATGAGTTGGAATCAACTCAATGACAATTAACAACAATAAGAAAACACTGAAAGTTGGTTATTTTTTGGGGTGGTGGTGGAGGCATGAGTCAAAGACCTTCTATTTTTCTTCCAAAGTTTTATATACCCTCAATAGAAACTTAGAATCCTTTCATCAATTTTCCTATTCCCTCTTCTAGTAACCACCACCAACCCCCATCTCTATTCATTTGGCTATTCTGGTGGCGTAGTGCCTAAGGCATTTGACTACTAACAAGAAGGCTAGTGGTTCAAACCTACCAGCCACTCCTTGGAAGGAAAGTTGGGCAATGTGCTTCTGTAGTGATACTGCCTCAGAAACCCAAGGAGGGGTTGCTGTGAGTCAGGTCCAACTTGACGGCAGTGGATTTATATATGACTTACTTCACTCAACATGTTTTCAAGTTTATCCATGTTGTAGCATGTATCATAACTTCATTTCTCTTTATGGATTTTATTTTATTTTTAAATTTTTGACTAAGTAATGCATCTACATGGTATACAATCTAAAAGGCATTGAAAGGTATATGAAGGAGCTTAAGGCATTTGACTGCTAACGAGAAAGTCAGTGGTTCAAACCCACTAGCCGCTCTGTGGAAGGCATATGGGACGATCTACTTTCATAAAGATTTACTGCCTCGTAAACCCAATGGGAGTCTCTATGAGTCTGAATTGACTCAGTGACAGTGAGTTTTGAGTAAAGGGTGTATGAGTCCCTGGGTGGTGCAAATGATTAATGTGCTTAGCAGCTAACTGAAAGATTGGGGGTTCTAGTCTACCCAGAGGCCTACTTTGAAATAAAAGCCTGGTGATTTACTTTTGAAAAATCAGTCAACGATTAGAAACCTTATGGATCACAGTTCTACTCTGACACGTGGATTGTCATGGGTAAAGGGTATATTGTGAAAATAAGTCTCTCCTGTTTCTGTGTCCCACTCACCCTGTTCTACCCATGGAGACAGTCACTGTTTACAGATTATTGGTGTCCTTTTGGAGTTATTCTGTATTTATACATACACACTGTTGTAGTTATCTGGTGCTGCAATAATAGAAATTCCACAGTGGATAACTTTAACAAACACATTTTTCTCACAGTTTAGGAGGCTAGATTTGAATTCAGAGTGCTGGCTCTAGGGGAAGGCTTTCTTTGTCTCTCAGCTCTGGAGAAAGAAAGGTCCTCAACTCTTCAGCTCATTTCCTGGTTCTTTGGTTATCTCTATGTGGCTTGGCATCCATCTTCACCCACTTCTACTTTTAACCTGCTCCTATTAGATCTTATAAAGATTGACTCAAGACATATCCTATATTAATCCCATCTCATTAACATAACAAAGAAAGCTCATTCCTAAATTAAATTATAACCATAGGACATGCATCTGAAGGCTAGCCTACTGGTAGACATTGGGGTTCCTGGGAGAGTGATGAGAGGAAAACGAAGTTGTCAGAAATATAATGCAGCACATAAAAATCAATATCCTAAGCATTAGTAAGCTGAAGACAACCATAGGATCTACTATGCTGGGAATGACAAATTGGAATGGCGTGACAGTTGTTGTCACAAAAAAATGCTTCAAGATCTATTGTGAAGTACAGTGCTGTCAGTGATAGCATAATATCCATACATGTACAAGGAAGACCAGTTAATACTACTGTGGTAGTGGTGGTTATGTGCCATCAAGTTGAACCTGACTTATAGCGACCCCTCCTTGGGTTTCTGAAGTGGTATCACTATGGAAGTAGACAGCCCAACCTTCCCAGGAGTGGCTGGTGGGGTTGAACTGCTAGCCTTCTGGTTAGTAGACAAGTGCCTTAGGCACTAATTTATGCACCAACCACCAAAGCCATAGATGAGGAAATTGAAGATTTTTACCAACTTCTACATTGACCAAACATGCAGTCAAGATGGTGATCGGAATGCAAAACTTGGAAACAAAGAAGAACGACCAGTAGTTGGACAATACGGCCTTAATGATAGAAATGACACTGAAGATCGCATGATAGGATTTTGCAAGACCAATGACTTATTCATTGCAAATACCTGTCTTCAACAACATAAACAGTAGCTATACATGTGGACTTCACCAGATGAATGCACAGCAATCAGATCGACTACATGTGTGGAAAGAGGCGATGGAGAAGCTCAATGTCTTCAGGCAAAACAAGTCTGGGAGCTGACTGGAACAGACCATCAACTGCTCATATGCAAATTCCACTTGAAGTTGAAGACAATTAAAACAAGTCCACGAGAGCCAAAATATGATCTTGAATATATCCCTCCTGAATTTAGAGATCATCTAAAGAATAGATTTCATGGATTGAACACCAGTGACCAAAAACCAGAGGAATTGTGGGATGACATCAAGAACAT